AGTGTTTCTACCTCTGGCCCTGCCCATGAGTTCCTGCTTTACACTGTGATAACGTCACAGATTTTAAAATCCCCTTTCTTGGCTCGAAGAAATATAAAACCTCTACATGGGTCAAACAAATCATAATAGGAAGAATCATAATTGGCCATGTTTTCCGTTCAACATGTCCTGCCAACAGTTTTACAGATCTTTTTTATAATGGTGGTCTATGGGGAAAACGCGTTTTGGGCCACAGGGGAGTTTTTCGCTACAATACTGCAAGTACCCACTGGGCAAAATGGAAAGCGAGTCTGACAGGCAACACCTAATCCAGATTGTAATACATACAGAACATGTTATTATATTATCATGTAATAGCATGAGATCTGAAGCAGGAATAACTGTTGATGAAGTCATTAAAAGGCAGACAACACTAAAAACTAAAAAAGGAAAGACAGAAAGAGAGAGAGAGAGAGAGAGAGAAGGTTCATCACATCTTTCTTGCCCCCCTTTTAGTAACTTTCATGTCATGACTGTTGTATACTTCTTCAAAGAGGAGCTTCCGTTTACTTTCTCTGTCCAGATATAAACAAACATGCTGTTATGATTTAAAGCTGAGACGCAAGAAGCAACAGAGAGACTTTGAGAGGATGAAATACATAAAGTGGGAGTTTAGAAGTTTAGAGCTCTGTGGATTATTCTTCAAAGACAAGGCACAATTAATCCAGATTAATAAAGACAGATAAAGCCCTCAGTGTGTGTTTTCACTGTGGTATATAGGTACTTGGCTGAGTACAAACATCTGTCTGCAGTTCAGTTGCTCTAATCAGAACAGTGAAAGAAAATGTGTGTATGTGTGTATGTGGGTCCTTGTTCCTATCAGGTAGTGCCATCTAATCTTCCAAAGCCACAGTAAACACTTTGACCAGGTCAGTCGCTCACGCTCTGAGGCAGTTGCTTTTTTCTCCAGAGGGACACAGATTCCCTTGGCTGCAGAGGTAGTGGAAAGGACACTAGCTTGTACTTTTATTATGCTTTAGACTGCAATAAACAGAAACCTTAAACATATGATATTATCTTTGTACTGTAGTTAATATAATGAATTAATTTACAGCTGTATATTCTGTTATGTAAGGATTTACATGTTAAGTAAAATAACACAATGTCTTCACTTTACTGAACAGGCAAAAGAAAATCAGTCAGGCCCTGAAGTGAAAATAAATATTATTCCCATGTGCATCCTGAACATTACTATTAAACATTTTATGTTACATCCGTGGTTAAGAGTTTAAAGAATCTGTGCGCATGTGAGAAAAATTAGCTCTTATAACATCTATGTAAATGCTTTACCGACACTAGTGAGTAAATTGGGTTATAAAGAAATAATAGTTGCTTTAGTTTTCAATTTAGAAAGCTGACTGAAATAGTGAAAAACTGGGAATAATGATATGATGCTAAAAAGTAAATAAAACAGCAGTGTGACTGACCTAGATAGACAGGATAGATAGGCTGTGTGCCTTTGTGTGGTAAAACAGGTCGACCTTGTACATTGTGGATGCTTTAAAAACATTGAGACGTAATCTTGCAAAGTCAGATTTATCTGAATGAATAGGTTACAGTTAAGAGCAGAGAACTCATTTCAACTGAAAAATATATATCTTCTCCCCCTCTATTTCCTCCACGGCACACACATAAGTGACTGATGAAAATCGTGTAAAGAAACTTTGAAACGGCAGCTAATAGTGTGCAGGTATTAACAGCCTGTTCCTGTTAAGGATTACCATAAATCACCACTTACAATTCACAAGAGCTTAGCCATAAGAACGAGGTAATGAAGTTTCTGTAAAGTACAACTGGAACTTTAAGAACTGAGGATGATGGTTATGTGTTGCATAAACTGAATACGTAAAATTACTTATTTAAGCTCAATTTTCTCAACTGCTATCTGGTGAAATTCACATTTTTCATTCTGTATTTAAACATTTTGCATATTAGTTTTAGTGTTTCTTTGTTCAGCCTTGTTGTGTACAGCAACACCAACACATACTATGTATATATATATATATATAAGTAAAGTTATTATAGTCTTTACAAACAAAAAGTCAGTAAGACTGACTAATATCATTTGTATTTATACCAAACAGTTGTACCACACCCTGAAATAACAATTTAATTTGAATATTTAATGCATCTGAAAAGCAGAACAAACAAAACACATGGGGGCTAATATTTTGGACTTTTTGCATCTTTGAGCCTGATCTCTCTGACCTCAACCCACTCACTGTCCTTGGTTATTATATAATAATTAACAGTTTGGTGCATCATTGATGTTGTCACAATATCTGCAGCCCTTGCAGACATGTAGCTTCAGCATCTGAATCTCCTCAGGGTGCCTTTCTCCTTCGTAAATAATTCACCAGGGGGAGTCCAATCTTTAATAAGATGAGTGAGCGTAGGTGGAAAAGGTTATGACTGACTGCAAATCACCTAAATACATTGTTTTAATAATTGTATTATTGTTGCATATGATAGCCTAACTGACTGATAAATTCACTGGCAGGTTCGTCATTCAACTGAAACAGGAGCATCTGACGGGTAAGCTTTCAGATGGATGGACAGATTGTTCAAAGGACGTTACAAAGAGAAATGACAGTTTAATGGCAGTTTTAAGCAGACTGTAAAATCTGGCAGACAGAATTGTAATCCTTCAATAATGTAATGTTTTAGGTGAACCTGCCTTATGAACCACACAAGGCAGTGTTTCATTATATAAGTGCTATATACTAAATATGTTATCCTACCATTGCAGCTCAAAACTGCTAGTTAGCTTGAAAGCTACTGCTCATGTCTCAACGCTATGATGATTTGAATCTGACTTAAGTTTTAATTTGGACTTGACGGCTGTGAGACTGCCTCAAAACAATTCAGATTTGGACTTGGGCCACAATGAACTTTACACTTAGACTCTCACTACGTAGACTTAGACTTGAGATTGTACTTGGACTTCTCTCTAACTACAAACCACTTGTCCTTGATATGTTTCAAATTACTTGAGACCTGACTTGTCTAGAATGACATAACATTTCACTTGGACGAATGGACCTTCCTCACAGCAGCCATTTTGACATGAAATTGTAGGGTAAACACAGATGTTACCAATGCTACTAATTAGAGTTCAGCAAAGGTCAAACACAGTCAGCGTGTGGCTATTGTACTGGAAAGACTCTGCTACACTTAATGGGATGGAACAATAATTTGTATAATTGGTAACACTTGTGTTTACCCTACTATTTCATGTAAAAATTGTTCCTGTGAAAAATGTCTATTACTTGTCTTGAACGTGTGATTACCCTCCAGGAGACTGGTGGGTGGAGTCATTCAGCTCATGTGGTGCGGCTGCAAAATATAAGCTGGTCATAGTCAGCCAGTGTCCCTCTCCCCTACTTCCTCACAGTTTTTGTCCCTGGTTTTGTTGTATTTTGTTTGTCTTTATCTTGTTTCATTTATTTTGGTCACATAAAACAAACTTCTTTTTATTTACAACTCTTGCGTGTTCTCCCTGTCTTTGTCTAGCTTTGAGCCGGGTTGTGACAAAATGAGGGCTTGTCTGTGATGCCAACCTGTTTGGTAAAGGGTTAATCCAGCCTTGGTGTGACAAATCAGGAACTGTTTGGTTTGGTTTGCTACCCTGGTGATTTGGTTCCTTTCAAGTGCACAGATTGAAGTGCCTTTTGGTATTTAGCATTGCAACTGAGATATCTGGGTGCATCAAGCAAGAGTTGGTTTCTTTGGTTACTTTTGCGGAGTTTGTTTGAGGTGGAAGTGGAAATGGAGAGAAAAGAGAGAAGGACAGAGACAAAATGTCTTGGGAGCATTCCTCTGGTTTCTGGATTGCCATTTTCTGATTGCTTTTGGGTTCTGGTGGAATCAGTGTAGTACCCACCACCAGTACCTGTCCGAAGATTAAGGCGGAGACTAGTTAGATAATGAATGGAACTAGGTAGGAGCTGGGGAGCTTGGGCTCTGTTGTGGCCATCTTTGATTTTTGCCGTTGACCATGTCCAGTACATGCATTCGTGTTTTTGTCTTGTGGGTTTGTAATCTTTCTCATACTTAAAATAAAATCAATGCCCTTTGTTTGGTCCCGATAGTACGTTGCATTATCCACTTTGTTGTGTACTTGACTCTTGACTTGAACAACTTGGCTTGAAACTTGGATTTGTGTCAAATGTCTTGAGACTTGAGTTACACTTGTCACAAATGACTTGACATTTGACTTGGAATTGTCTTGAATTACATGACACTCAAATCAGACTTGTCTAAAGTTACTTGAGTCTTTCTTGAATGACGTAACACTTGAGTTGAACTTGTCCCGAATTACTTGAGTCTTGCCTTAAATATATCTTAAATAACTTGACACTTGTCTCTAATGACATAACACTTGATTTGGACTTGACTTGAGACTTGACTTGCCCTATTCAGAAATAGCTTGTCAAACTTGTCCCGAATGACTTGACACTTGGCTTCGATTACCTCAAATTACTTGGAGTTTGACCTTAAGAGTTAATCAAAGTCAGTTCTTTCATCCAATGGGTTTATTACCTCATGGTTTGTGTTCTACACTGATCTGTCTGAGAACACCAATACAAAGGCTCCATTTAGTGCAAGATACTCTATAATTTAGGGTTACTACTGCACCATTATTTACTCTTTCACTGCAGACAACACTGCTATTTAGAAAGAGGAAAGTGATAAAAAATGTTCTGGACACAAATCTTTGTGATGTATAAATGGGAGGCCTTTGTGTTGTTTACACTTTACTAAATATAGTTTTTCCTTTCTAATTTTTTCACACTTCGGCAAATGCCATGGGGGCTTGAACCCAGTGCATTCATTATGACTCAATGTTGTGCAGTAAGCCATGCAAACATTAATGCAGGATTCATCATTCATATTTAACACATAGTATCCAAAAGAACACCTCTCCAACTCATGAGGAACATAAGTGCCAATCCAAAGTGTATCAGACACATTAATAAAGACATTTTATTGAACTTTTTTCATGATCATAGATTTTAAAATTCAATCATCAGAAGTCACGGCAACAGAAAATTATACATTTCATAGCAAATGTTCTGTCTGATTTCCAAGAGCGTTTGGCACAAAGCACAAAGTAAGATCATGTTGAGGAAGTGTGGGTGTGTTTTAAAATGTGTTTTACTGACAGGCAGGTTACAGGTCAATGAATCTATAAAGGAAAGAGAGCATTCAAAAATATCAATGAGGAAACAGTTCACACAGCACACTCTACCACAGTGGGAGATCATAAATCAATGAAAACCTAAGGTCCGTGATACACAAACTGTGCTTTAGGCTATGGTAATGTTCAGCAGAGATGTGCGTTGGCTAATCCATTGCTTTATGTTCTCTCTGTAGTTAGACTTGTGATTTTTTCCGCTGTGAATTTTCTACTCTTTGTTCTCTTTTTCTTTCCACATGTTCAGATAACTGCCTCATTTAGCTGAAATCAATATGGTAATTGATGATATTGTGTCTTTCTGTATGGTAAACAACATGCATGCAGAAAAATCAGACAGAATGTAAGAATTTTTGGTTAATTAACTGTCTGCAGTCTCCAAACTTCTTTCTTTGTATGTTGGCCTTCAGAGTCTTCACTCTCAACCACTTCCACCTGTGTGTCTCCAGCATTTCTTCCTTTTAGTTTCCTTGGTGATGGAGGATGGAAGCTGCAGAACATCACATCACCACAGCCTGTCCAAATTGGGGTCTCAACCCCTGCGTAGTGACCGTCCACTGTGTTGTGTGATTTCTCAATCTCCTGTAGTCCAAAGGAAGCCAATCTTTAGTTTGTCACATCATTACCTCCTGCTTTTTTCCTGCTGGTTCAGTGTGCATTATGCTATGGAAACATGTCTTTGCTTCCCATTCAAAGACTGAGCTCTTGGTATGCCAAGACATTAAGGACCTGAAGCCAGAGTGTCTGATATGAGCAGAGGAAAGGATATGAAAACTAAAAACAGACACATTCTACTCCCACTATACCTTGACAATGTGACGATAAGCCATCTGCATGATTCAGAGAGTATATTTCAAATATAATACACATCTGTTAAAATCAGGTATCTCTGCATCACATGGAACACAAAATGCATCTGAGGAAATTAATTTAGTGTACAATGTTTTGTTGTCTTGATTGTGTTAGAAAGACATCCTTACAATCACTGACCAATTAATCTCATATTGTACATACTGTGTATATTTACAGTATATGTACATAAAATCTGATATACCTGGGTTCCCTAACAGAGATTGGAGTAACTGACTTGTCGTATCCTAGCCATTGCGTAAAACAGGCCAAGTTCAGCACTGCATTTCATTCCTGTGTTGCCATGTTATGTAGTCTCAAAAAATTGTTGTTAAATTCCTTTACGTGTACTTACTAGCATTATCATCACATCCAAAAGTCGTTGAAGCAGGTTCTCTCAATAAAAGTGATTTTTAAAAATATTTACAGTATCTTTCCATCAGTCACTATCCTGGTCCACACCAGTTAAAGGTGAGCAGTTCTGCCCCCTCTTTGCGCTGTAAACCATATAAATGATTTCAATCCATGTTGGTGTAACAGCAGATGGGAGCTGCAAAAGCTTCATATTGATGTGCATTCAAACATTACTGAAGTAGGATCTCATTTCATTCAGCTACTCTTCAAGAACGAATAATGACATGATTGTGGTCTTATTAGAACCCAAACACTCAGGAAAAGAGATCCTTTGGTCACTGAGGGTGAATATGATGCAACCTTAGGGACAAGTATCTCTTATCTTGAGTCTTGTGACCTCTCCTTCCCATTCACTACACAATCCCCTCGCTGCGTTTGCTCCTCCACACTACCAGGGCTGTCATGAGGAGGGTGACCAGGATGGGCACAACAATGAAGGGACCCAGGATGCGGTTGGGTGGGTCCCTGAGAAGCCGTCCAGACATTGAGCAGTCGTGGAAGTAGTGCTTGTGGATTCGGATGAAGAACTCATCCACCAGCCTGTTGGGCCAGAAGCACTCCATCTTCAGCGCCACCAGGTACGTGCAGTTTGTCAGCTCGCCGTATAGTCTATATGTTGGTGACACAAAAGATAAAGATAAACAGTCACACACTGAAGAAAAGAATCAACCGGTCATTTGCAAAACCTCACTTTCCTTACTGTTGTTATACCCGTCAAAATCTTTGTTCTCATAGAGCATGTATGCAGGTACCACTTGCAAACAGTGGGTCTTTGATTTCAGACAGAGACAGATGAAAGTAGCTTCTCATTTCTTCCACTGACCACTGATTTTGCCCACTGACATGACAAGAGACAGCACACAACACTATCACTGGCAGATTTCATCATCAATACCTATTTAGCTAATTAAGATAACAGTCTCTGACTGAGTATTCTTTGGGCTTTTATTGCCTTTTTTATTGATAGAGACAGCTGGAGAGAGACAAGAAAGGGGGGCAGAGAGAGGGGATGACAACAGTAAAGGGCCGCAGGTCAGATTCAAACCCTGGACCGCTGCAGAAAGGACTTAGCCTTGGTACATGGGGCGCCAGCTCTAACAACTGAGCTAACCGGGCACCCAGCTTTTTGCTTTTTAATGCCGTGGTAAAAGAAAGGTTTTTAGGATGATGACTAACCAATATGTTTTGCAAATGTGAGGCTGACAGAGGCATTAAAAACGCTTAAAGTCTGATACCAGTTTCCACACAGTGGGTTTAACACTGCACAGTGCATGCTTTAGTCATTTAGAATAGGACTTTATTTAAGGAACCTCTAACCGCACAGACAAATGTTATTACCAAATGGTTTGCTAACTCTTGGGCTTTCAAGCAATGCTGCTGTAGTTTACTACTGAAGGTAGTAGGAATGAAAAATAAAAAATAAAACAACAACAAAGGCTTGACCTTGGAAATAGCAGATAGACAAAAGAAGACGTGTAACTAGGAGCTGGGGTATGAGAGGAGTCTTTTACCAGATTGTCCAGGTGGCTCAGATACAAAACACTTGTCCTTCTCCGTTAGAAACCATCCGGAAAAAAAAAAAAAAAAAAACGATGGATGAGTGTTATACTGATTGTCTATTGTTTAGACCTAGTATGTGTGTGTTGCTCCTCCATGGTGAGTCAATCACAGGAGTTCACAGGGCCATAATTGAGGTAATGGCCCATGATTATGACTGAGCACGCACAGGCCACTGCAACTGCAAAAAGCAAGGTCAGATACGTCATAACACGTATAGTAGGTCTTTATACAGTACGGTTCACACATACCGAGACCAGTGAGTGACAGTTGATAGACATTATAGACGTTCATTAATGGCATGGCCAGGCTTCCCCACCAACTGTGTTCTAGTACATGTAGCTCTTTATATTATACGCCTTATTGTTTTACAGATTTTATCAGAATAATACCCATTTTATTGATGCTGTTCACTTTTTGCCATATTTGCTTAAACTTTCACTATATCCAGATAAATGTGCATGATAGACCTGTGAAAAAATCAGGTTTCCTCCTGGTGCTCCTAATGGCATTTGCAAAAATACACCAGACTCAACAATCAACAAAGCCATTTCATTACATTTTATTATTATTATTAATTTAAAAAAAAAGTTGCATTGACATATTTTAACAACTGAATAAAAATAATAATAAATAGTTAAAACCCCTTAATTACAGTATTACCACATTACTGTACCCACTAATGTATTAAGAAATAGTTGTGTTCCTGGCCACCTTACCCTCACACCTTTTAGCTCTTTGGAGGAAAATATATTTTGTAGCTCCACTATGTTGCCTATAGAGTCAGGGAATGCTCCAGGGGTGTCTCATATTACATGTAGTCAATTTAACCCGTGTTCCCATAAAAGTATCAATAAGTGCAGCTTTAATATTCAAATATATTTTCTAGCAAAGAACATGTGTGTTGCTAGTTCTCTCTGATCTGCACAGCTCAGACTGAAAAATTTGTTAAAAATTCTAGCAGCTTTTGATGATGCACCCCAACACAAGGTCTTTGTGGAAGTTTTGTAGATGTAAACAGCTCAGGGCTGCTTGGCATAGGACCAGAGCTGCAGAGCACTGTGGTTGCTTCAGGTGGCAGGTTCACTCTGTCTGGGTGTGTACTTCCTTCCTCTGCTTTATCCTTGAAGTTTTACAAGTTGTGGAAGAGAAAAAAGAGAATTCTGGTCCCGCAGCTGGTCTAATGAGCACTAAGGTTTCTAAGAATGTTTATGAGTCACTGACTGAAAGAAGTCGCAGCAGAGTTGAGGCAGGGGAGGCGTACACAAAGAGATGCAGTCGGTCGCTGGCTCACCTCATGCAGCTACGGTCAGCGTCAAATTAAACTTGACAGCATGCAGTGTGCTGCTGAATGTAATCCATTATCTCATTTCTATTAGAAATTTCCTTTTGATCATCCAACCTTATTAAACTCAGAGTGAATCAGTCTGTGTGATGTAAAGCCATGGCGGTTATACACCATACTGGTTAAACTAATGTTATTTCTTGAAGAAATATCACAAAATACTATTTTTCTATCTTAACTTGGCATTTGTGCTGTGACCAAGACATTGTTGTGTCTTTTAAACAAATTTCCCCTTGTTACTCCACACTGTCTCTATGTGAGGCCACGGGGCAAGTGTGTGTATTTCACAAGCAGAAGGAACATGCATGTATTATGGATGTATTGCCCATGTATATATACATTTTCCCCCAATTTAAAACGCTAGAAAGACGGAATTGGCAGGCAGTGGTGAGAAAGGGAAACAACAATGAGGTAGTTAGGAGGAGAATGTGACATTTAATTTCCATTTTATCCCTTTTCCTGTTAGTACTTGTGTCCATCAAGGTGGCATCCAGAGCTGATCTCCAGCCTAATATTAAATGCCATGACAAATAGTATTACCACAGATGGTCTGCTTCAATTGTGTACTAAGGGAGTGCAATTAGAGGATTTGAAGTGTCAGTGTTGGTACTGAGACACAGAGCTAATGGCCTCCGTTACTGCTCCTCTTTTACACTGTAATACATATTTAGAATGAAACCGGTTTCAATCAGCTCAGTGATGGAGACTCCAGAATACAGTATGTTTTAGGCTATTTGTGGTTTTTCTCTATGGGAATTAATAAACAGCAACAATGGCAGAGTGGTAACAGGGTTACTGCTGGCTGCTGTAGCTGCAGTGACATTACACATATGCACAGTTTTAGAAATGAATTTAAATGGTACAATTTGTGGGTTGGGTCAAACATTACAAATAAAATTAAAATAAAGGATACAATTTGTGTATGCTTTACATTCAATGCAGAGAGCAGAGGAAAATCTGACTTTTAGCAGCATTTTTGAGACTTTTGAGCTGTGCTGAGCTTAACAAAGGCCAAAGTATTAAGTTAACTCAGAAAGCCAGACACCCTCATCCAGTTGCACACTGGATGAAGGGTTCATGGATGTTGAGTTAGAGCATTCTCCAGCTAGTCTGCTCATATGAGTACGTCTGCCATCGCCTGAACTGTCTATCCAAGACTGGAATCATCAGTTTAAACCTCGGAATAGAAGAGAGAAGAGTTTACATAGATGGCTCATCTTATTTAGACAAAGAAATGGGATGGCTTCATACAAGGTTTTCTATTCCAAACAGTAACAGAGTTTCTTGCTGTCACTCCCATTTAAGATAAATTTAGATCTCCCGATACTCATATGCTGGTCTTCTACAGTGGGCATTTCTGTCTGCTAATAAAGGTTAAAGCATTCTCTAAACTTGTGTTTATCCGGAACCTGAAATTCTTCTGATCCCTTAAACACACGCACCATCCAGACCCTGCCACAAGCAGAATCCTCTAAATGTGACACCGCATCCTTTCCAAAGTGTTATATAACATTTATTGACCTGTTCATAGCTCAATGTACGCTTGTTTTTATGAAAAGGATTAAACATAAATTTAAAGTCTAGCTGTCGGTTTGGGTACTTAATTGCTTACATATGTTTTCTGCTGTTGTGGGGGCAGTTTTGTCACTACGCCATCAGAGTTGTCAGATTGCACACAACAGCAAAAGTGTGAGTATGCCTGGTCAAGTCTATGCATGACTGTGGGCCCACTCTCACGTCAAGTGCTTTTTGATTTTTTTTTTGTGTGTGGGAGATGCAGTATGCAATATTCCATTTATTTGTCACTCAATATGGTTTTTAAAATAAGGGATGTTAAAGAGTGTGAAATGATGGAAATGAGCCTGCATTCGTATCATCTGTGAGCATATAAAAGATTAATCTTCAGATATAATTTGCATGTAAATAAAGTATGTGTGTAAGTAGAAAATCAACTCATAATAACCTCGTAATTTAAAGACAGATGGAAAACAGAGCATGACATAGATAGAGATATAAATAAAGAAATGCAGACAAGCATGATAGATGCAGAGTGAGAGACATATCTTAATTAACTATACTTATCTATAAAAAAATACCCCATATGAAAAAGATGAAGGACAGAGGGAGCTGAATTAGGCAGGGGCATGCTGTTTTTTATCTGTTGACTGAAGAACACAGTGTGAATAAATAAAACCTGGATAATGAATAAATAAAACCAACACAGAGCAAAGCTGCTCCAGTGACTGGAGAAATGAGTCCGGACGGTTCCTTTATTCTACTGACGGACATCCACAGAGCAAAGTGCAAAGTGGACAGGTATATGAAGTTAGATAGAGCGGGTAACATGTTACTTATTTAGGTGGCATGCTGTTGTCATTGCACTAAAAGCAGAAAGACAAGAGTGAGGTCTGTGGGTCATTCACTGTAACTGACTTAACAATAAACAGGATCTGAAGGAAGTTTTCGTTGGAAATTTAGGACCAATGAACAAGTTTTTATTTTTTGGTGCAGATTCAGATGCAGTTTTTAAACATGTTTGTACATTTGCTATTTTCAAAAAACAACGAAATTCATATCACTGACAAAAACTCCTCTCTGCCTCTAAAAGCTTGAGCTGAAGTGAAGGAGTGATTTCATCTACAGAAACCTTTCACACAGTTTTTTAATGTTTTTAAAATGGACTTATATCATGCTTTCACCTTCTAGC